CCACCTGCTGGGAACCAGAAATTCAAATCTCTCTGTGAATATTTAGATATGCAAATGAGAACCCCCAAATTAAAACACACCACACCCTTCAGGGCACACGAGCATGGAGGGCACAGGAGCATGGACGGTGCCTGACTACCCAGCCTTCCTACTTTTGTGAGGCCCTATTTTTTTTTTTTTTTTTTTTTTTTTTTTTTTTTGAGACGGAGTTTCGCTCTCGTTACCCAGGCTGGAGTGCAATGGCGCGATCTCGGCTCACTGCAACCTCTGCCTCCTGGGTTCAGGCAATTCTCCTGCCTCAGCCTCCTAAGTAGCTGGGATTACAGGCACGCGCCACCACGCCCAGCTAGTTTTTTGTATTTTTAGTAGAGACGGGGTTTCACTATGTTGACCAAGATGGTCTCGATCTCTCGACCTCATGATCCACCTGCCTCGGCCTCCCAAAGTGCTGGGATTACAGGCTTGAGCCACCGAGCCCGGCCGTGAGGCCCTATTTTTATCCTTTTCCTGGTGGCTGCTGCATGATGTCATCTTTCTTGGGTGCCATCTTTGATGACATATTTACACAATACCGCTATCTTGGTTTCACCTGTATCCCATAGAATCTCATCCCCTTTAAAAAATTTGTTTTCAGAAGGAAACCAACCCAATACGATCCAGAAACCCAACCCTAAAAAGAGAAAAGACAAGTCAAAAAAGAGAAAAAGTTTCAAAATAACACTAGACTCTCCCTGGGGCTCCCCTGTACCCTAACCTGAACCCTGACCCCGAGCCATGAATATTCATGCATCCTCATGAATATTCGTGAAATACTGATAATCAATAGGCATTTATGTAAAACCCTGACCCGAACCCGAACCCTAAACTCTAAACCCCTAACCATGACCCCAGACTGATTGATTATGTAAAACCCTGACCCTGATTCTGAGGTGAGACATAGAAGAAAGACTTCGAGAAGTTTGTACATTCAGTGACATAATGCATTTTATTCTTTAGTCGATGTTAGAAAGCAGAGGCTTGTATCTCTTGAAGAGTTTCTATCTGACATAAAGAATGATATACAAGGCCGGGCGCGGTGGCTCAAGCCTGTAATCCCAGCACTTTGGGAGGCCAAGGCGGGTGGATCACGAGGTCAAGAGATCGAGACCATCCAGGTGAACATGGTGAAACCCCGTCTCTACTAAAAATACAAAAAACTAGCTGGGCATGGTGGCGCATGCCTGTAATCCCAGCTACTTAGGAGGCTGAGGCAGGAGAATTGCCTGAGCCCAGGAGGCGGAGGTTGCGGTGAGCCGAGATCACGCCATTGCACTCCAGCCTGGGTAACAAGAGCGAAACTCCGTCTCAAAAAAAAAAAAAAATTTTTTTTCCCATTTTGTTGGTTGCCAATTCACTCTAACGACTGTTTCTTTTGCTGTGCAGAATCTGTGGAGTTTGATTAGGTCCCGTTTGTCTATTCTGGCTTTTGTTGCCAATGCTTTTGGTGTTTTGGTCATGAAGTCCTTGCCTACGCCTATGTCCTGAATGGTTTTGCCTAGATTTTCTTCTAGGGTGTTTATGGTGTTAGGTCTTATGTTTAAGTCTTTAATCCATCTGGAGTTAATTTTAGTGTAAGGTGTCAGGAAAGGATCCAGTTTCTGCTTTCTGCACATGGCTAGCCAGTTTTCCCAACACCATTTATTAAACAGGGAATCCTTTCCCCATTGCTTGTTTTTGTCAGGTTTGTCAAAGATGAGATGGTTGTAGATGTGTGGTGTTGCCTCCGAGGCCTCTTAAAACACTATTTGTCATATACTAAATGTAATTAGAGGAAACAAGGAAGATTTTGATAGAGAATTGATTCCTCTCATCTGAGAGTAACTTTGTACCCATTACTGATTCCTTCCAAGACCCCCTCCATCTCCCCAGCAGCCTCTGGTAATGCCCATTGAACTTTCTACTACTACTATTTTTTTTTTTTTTTTTTTTTTTGAGACGGAGTTTCGCTCTTGTTACCCAGGCTGGAGTGCAATGGCGCGATCTCGGCTCACCGCAACCTCCGCCTCCTGGGTTCAGGCAATTCTCCTGCCTCAGCATCCTGAGTAGCTGGGATTACAGGCACGTGCCACCATGCCCAGCTAATTTTTTGTATTTTTAGTGGAGACGGGGTTTCACCATGTTGACTAGGATGGTCTCGATCTCTCGACCTCGTGATCCACCCGCCTCGGCCTCCCAAAGTGCTGGGATTACAGGCACACGCTACCATGCCCGGCTATTTTTTTGTATTTTTAGTAGAGACGGGGTTTCACCATGTTGACCAGGATGATCTCAATCTCTTGACCTTGTGATCCACCCGCCTCGGCCTCCCAAAGTGAACTTTCTACTTCTAGGGGATAAAGTTTTTTCAGTCTACCGCAGCCGAAAATAAAATACACTGAGCCTCAGTGGACCCTCCCTGCCTCCCTGCCAGCCCATCACTTTAACCTTGACTCCGTTCCAGCCTTCCCCAGCAACCCCGTTCAGGCCCCCTTCCCCTAAACTTGGGAAGCCCCTAACCCTAACCCGAACCCCATGCCCCTGCCCAGAGCCAGCCCCCACTGGGAGCCCCTGATCACTTCCACCCTCCCCCCGGCACCCGGGACCCTGGTATAGATTTCCCTGCTGAATATTTATAAGCATGCAAACAACCCCAAAGAATCCCCAGGGACCTGCTCCCCTGCACCAGGGGAAACCCTGTATGCCGATTTACATGGTATGCAAACGAGCATGCAAATGACCCTCTAAAACATCCCTGGGGCAGGCCCCCTCCACCTGCTGGGAACCAGAAATTCAAATCTCTCTGTGAATATTTAGATATGCAAATGAGAACCCCCAAATTAAAACACACCACACCCTTCAGGGCACACGAGCATGGAGGGCACAGGAGCATGGACGGTGCCTGACTACCCAGCCTTCCTACTTTTGTGAGGCCCTATTTTTTTTTTTTTTTTTTTTTTTTTTTTTTTGAGACGGAGTTTCGCTCTCGTTACCCAGGCTGGAGTGCAATGGCGCGATCTCGGCTCACCGCAACCTCTGCCTCCTGGGTTCAGGCAATTCTCCTGCCTCAGCCTCCTAAGTAGCTGGGATTACAGGCACGCGCCACCACGCCCAGCTAGTTTTTTGTATTTTTAGTAGAGACGGGGTTTCACTATGTTGACCAAGATGGTCTCGATCTCTCGACCTCATGATCCACCTGCCTCGGCGTCCCAAAGTGCTGGGATTACAGGCTTGAGCCACCGAGCCCGGCCGTGAGGCCCTATTTTTATCCTTTTCCTGGTGGCTGCTGCATGATGTCATCTTTCTTGGGTGCCATCTTTGATGACATATTTACACAATACCGCTATCTTGGTTTCACCTGTATCCCATAGAATCTCATCCCCTTTAAAAAATTTGTTTTCAGAAGGAAACCAACCCAATACGATCCAGAAACCCAACCCTAAAAAGAGAAAAGACAAGTCAAAAAAGAGAAAAAGTTTCAAAATAACACTAGACTCTCCCTGGGGCTCCCCTGTACCCTAACCTGAACCCTGACCCCGAGCCATGAATATTCATGCATCCTCATGAATATTCGTGAAATACTGATAATCAGTAGGCATTTATGTAAAACCCTGACCCGAACCTGAACCCTAAACTCTAAACCCCTAACCATGACCCCAGACTGATTGATTATGTAAAACCCTGACCCTGATTCTGAGGTGAGACATAGAAGAAAGACTTCGAGAAGTTTGTACATTCAGTGACATAATGCATTTTATTCTTTAGTCGATGTTAGAAAGCAGAGGCTTGTATCTCTTGAAGAGTTTCTATCTGACATAAAGAATGATATACAAGGCCGGGCGCGGTGGCTCAAGCCTGTAATCCCAGCACTTTGGGAGGCCAAGGCGGGTGGATCACGAGGTCAAGAGATCGAGACCATCCAGGTGAACATGGTGAAACCCCGTCTCTACTAAAAATACAAAAAAAAAAAATTAGCTGGGCATGGTGGCGCGTGCCTGTAATCCCTGCTATTCAGGAGGCTGAGGCAGGAGAATTGCCTGAGCCCAGGAGGCGGAGGTTGCGGTGAGCCGAGATCACGCCATTGCACTCCAGCCTGGGTAACAAGCGAAACTCCGTCTCAAAAAAAAAAAAAATTGATATACAATAAACTGTATTCAACAACTGATCAACAATTTCTAACAAGGTGAAATGAAAACATAAAGTGTGGGGATTGATACTAGTTCTCATCTACTTATCTGTGGTTAGGAAGGTTTATTTTTCTCCTTCAAAACCTAAGTAGTACATGTGTTAAATTACCTTCGAAATTTCAAGACTCTTGGAGCCTCAGACAGGGACTAGCATTAGAGTCAAACCACTCCGCAGCTGTTTGTTGCCTGAGTGCACAACAGCATGGCCAACAGGTCCTGGTGACAAAAGTCTTGTGCAGCGTCCATTTGAATTCTGCTTCTGCCATTGACCAGCTGTGTATTTCTGCACAAGTATTTTAACCTTGGGCCTCAGTTTCCCTATCTGTAACTTGGGGGCCTACATCAAATGGATTCCTGGTGAAGAATAACAAGACTGTATTGTTTCAGTTGCCTTTTTCTCCGTCTTCCCACTCTCCCCTCCAACCCCTCCAAGTTTTTTTTTTGACAGAGTCTCCGTCTGTTTCCCAGGCTGGAGCACAGTGGCATGATCTCAGCTCACTGTAATCTCCACATCCCAAGCTCAAGTGATCCTCCTACCTCTGCTTCCAAAATAGCTGGGGCTACAGGTGTGTTCCACCATGCCAGGCTAATTGTCAGACAGTATGTGTGTACAGACCACACCAGGCTGAGTATGTGTGTGTAAAGATGGGTTTTCTCCATGTTGACCAGGCTGGTTTCGAACTCCTGGCCTTAAGCAAACTTCCTGCCTTGACTTCCAAAAGTACTAGGACTTACATGAGCCACTGCCCCCACCACCTCCAAATCTATTAAAACAAGAGTCTCACCAAAACAATGAAATTGCAATGTGACGTTTCCGTTTACTTTGGATTATATGTCATTATAAATATTAACAAATAAGACTTTAAAAGGACACCTTTGGGTGGATCAGACCAAAGTACAAAACTTGTGTTGTGGGGCTGCAGTTTGAGGACAGTGTCTGCAGCCGTCACATGGTAGCAAAACAGTGTTAAGCAGCGCACGAGAGCCAGAGTCCATGCATCGGGAGGTGCACTTAGTTGGCGAAGGAACCATGGGTAGGGCATGCACGGCCCGGGCTCGGCGGGCAGGGCGCAGTTCCCTCTCTCGTCGCTAGAGGTCAGGAGGTGACCGCTTCAGGGATAGAAGTTGGGCCCGTTGGGGACTGGCTAGTGCTGACAGGCGCAGTTCCTTCGTTCGCCACTAGAGGTCAGGAGGTGACCGCTTCAGGGCTGGAAGACGGGCCCATCGGAATTGCCTAGTGCTGGCAGCGGGCAGGGCAGGGTTGAATGTGGCGCCTGGTTACTGACACCTGACTTTGGAATGACTTTTGTTTTGGCATCAGATTTCTTGTCTTTGTGGGGCTGATGTACCCGAGGAAAGATGCCCATTTGGAGTCAAAGGCAGAGTCGTTTCCGCAGCTTCTCAACGCAAATCTGCATGGGATCGAGAACGAAGCCTAGGGAAGGACGATTTCCAAACTTCCTGGTGGGCGGTTCCTCCCAGAGCTGCCCCTGGGCTGGGTGGCCAATGAGTCCCACCTCCCAGCCTGACTGCCCCCACCTTTTGGGTCCAGCCCCATTTGCACAGCCTGGGCAGGACAGGGCCTGGACTGCTGGGTTCTTGTCCCAGCTGTACCCCCACACGCCGAGTTAAGGAAGCCATGCCAGGTGGGGCTCACAGCCTCCACCTTTCCCATTCATTACTTCCGTGTCTTCAAACAGGCTGTCAAGTCTCCTCTCTGAATGAGATCCCCCGCAAAAAAGCAAAGCTAAGAAGATAACCCAGAGCTTCACCAGACACCAGGCCTTTTAGATATGGACTGCCTTACCTTAGGCCCCCAAAGGGTCTTCATTCTGGCTGCATGGAGAAAAGAGGAGCCTTTGCCTCAACCTGCAGAGGCCGGGGTAAGGTGGCTGAATTCTGGGACCGGGTTAGGCACCTCTGGGGGAGCCTGAAGTAGCATGGATGGTTTCAAAGCCAGCAGACAAGGTGGCAGGACAGTGACAAGACCCCAGGTCCCTATCATGCACCAGAGCTTACTGAGTCTCTGACAGACCAGGAGGGAAGGGACTGGGAGTACCGATCCCCAGAGTGAGAAAGTGGCAGTCAGAGGACGTGGGTTTGAGTCCTGGCTCACCCCTTCCTGGCTGTTTGGCCTTGACAAACTGCTCAGACTCTGGGAACCTGTTTTCACCCCCAAGACCAGGAAGACTCAAACCCACCTTGCAGGGCTGTGAAGATGAGTTCTGCCACATGCATGCAAAGCCCTCACATATAAAGCCTTCCTAAAGATGGGGAAATAAGGCTCCATGAGCAGCAGGTGGCCAGGGACTGTGTGGGGGCTGGTATCCCGTTTCCTCTGCAACCTGGGACAGGGCTGATGGGCACTTGGTGCAATTCAGATCATGACCCTGGACGTCGGGTGGTGGTGTGCTTTGTGTCTGCAGTGGAAGGTCCCATTCTCGTGCCTGTGAGTCCCGCTACCAGTGCTGAAGGGTGGGCAGCAGGCAGGTGAGCCCCAGGCTAGCAGCCAGCAGGATCTCTTGGGTGACCTCAGCATACCAGATCCCCTCAAGTGTGGTGTCCAGCACTCCGGGCTGGGGGCCCTGGATCCTGGTTCCAGCTGTGTGGGGGCTGGAGGGCCCTGGGCAGGTCACCTGCCCTCTCTGGGCCTCTCTCCATCACACACTGGGACTCCAGCTGGGCAACTCCTTGGCTCCGCATATGTTCACCCAGCGTTCCTGAGGGCCCCTTGGTAGGCAGGCAAAGTTTGCTGGCTTCAGGCCTGAGCCCCAAGATTCAGATCCTCTCAAGCCCTTCTTGGAGAGCCTAACTAGGGGAACAGACAGGCCCACCAGGCAGGGTGACTCTTGCTCAGCTCCTGCAGGGGAGACCCGGCCCCACAGGCCTCCCCATAGACAAGGCCCTGGACTGCCACCGGCTACTCCCAGAGGGACATCTGTGGCAGTGGTAGGGCCAAGATGCCATGAGCAACCACCTGGAGGCCCCCAGTACTCAGCACGAGCCAGGAAGCAAGAGAAAAGGGGAAAGGGCGGAGTGAGGACGTGGAGAAATTCTTGCTTTTTCCAAGCGCGAGGGACCCTCTTCTCCACTGCGGTCGACTTGATGCTTACGCAGGGAAGGAGGAGGGGTGGGCTGTCCTCGAGGTCGCTCAGGAGGAGGAGGAGATCAAAGTGGGAGACGTGCGTCTGCGGTCTGACGTTGACCCTGCCCCAGGCATTCTCCACGGTGCTTCCGTCACTTCCCCGCCTCCTGCCTAGAGCCTCACTCCTTCCCAATAAACCCTGGCCCGGTGAGGAGGCCCCGGGTCCGCAGCTCCATGACCCCATCAGCTTCCTCTCTCCTCCAGGCCTTTGTGACCACACCCACCGCTGGGACAGCTTTTCCCTGACAGAGCCCACAGTACTTGCAGACCGGCCGGGCTGGTCTTGGTATTTCTTGCCACAGTTGGAATGGTTTGTTCCCAGTTCCCTGACTCGATGGGAACTCCCTGAGGGCAGGCCCTATGTCTCATTTCCCCCCAGTGCCTGTGGAATCACTGAGTGAAGCATGTATCAGCCTGCCCATCATCAGGAGCCTGGGGAACTCCGGTGGACTTCCGGCTGGCAGGCCCACTCCTGCCTGCCCAGCAGGTGACAGAGATGAGGGATGCAGTCAGCCTTGGGCTGCATCTGGGAGCAGCCGGTCTTCCAGGTCTCCTCCTCTCCCTGCCTGTCTCCTCGCCACCTCCCTTCTTCTCCGTTCCCACTGCCCCCCAGTGTGACCCGCACTCCAGTCCTCTCAGCCTGGCCTGGCCTCTAGAAGGGCCCTTACCCCAGGTGGCCCTGTTCCCTCTCCCTGGACACATGCTGAGGTCTCCTTCCACCACTGGCCTCTCGGGCACCAGAGGGCTGAGAGCCCCACCCCAGCTCCCTGCCCTCCCCCTCCCAGAGTGGCTGAGCCCTCCAAGTCCTCCACACGGGGACTGCAGTGGCTCTGCATCCAATCAGGGGTCCTAGATCTCCCCCGACGTGGGAGCCACAGGCTGTGGTGGCTGCTGGGGAAGCCTGGGGCCAGCCGTGCTGGGTGCAGGCGGCAGGGGGGTGGCGGTGGCGGGCAGGCGTCAGTCGCTGAGCACGGCCCCCGGGAGCTCGCTGGTGAGCGTGTGCCAGCGCTCAATGCGCTTGTCCTTGTTCTTCAGGCAGTCGAACCAGTGCTTCAGGCGCTCCCCCTTGGCGTTAATGCCCAGAACCACGCCGCCTGCAGGACGATGGGAGGGGCAGCTGGGGCACGGGGACCCCCTGACTCCTAGGCCTGGGGCCCATGCTCCCTCCCAGGTTCTGTGCTCCAAGGCCGGCTTCTCCCCCTGTCCGCTGGGTTCTGAGCTTGGACAGGAGCTGACCTCCGTGCCACGCTCTAGTCCTGCCATCCTGCCCCTCTTCCACCAAGGCAGGGCTGGGGCAGGGTGCAGAGGCAGTGTCAGGGCCAAGGAATGGGGGCTGGAAGAGGGGAGAAAGGGCCAGGCAGCCCCACTCTGTGCAGCCACCAGGCCCACCAGGAATTGGGGAATCCCTAGGGCTCAGAGTCCAGCCCGAGGTGCTGCCCATCATGGTCTCTTGCCCCTGCTCCATCACAGACTGCTGTGTGACCCTCCCACAACTCCCTCCCTCTCTTGGCCTGTCTCTTCTGGGGCACAGGGGTCAGGCCAGAGAAGGTCTGAGGGCAGGTGGTCTGTGGCTCCAGCTTTCCCCAGGGGCCAGGAAGGAGGGGCTGTGGCCTGAGCCAGGATAGGCAGCGAGTTCCCCCTTACCAATGAAATCGTTGGATCTCCCAATGTCGTAATCCCACACGGTGACCTCCAGGGACTTCTTGGCCAGGTCCCCATGCTTAATCTCATAGCAGAACTCCTGCTGGCCAGAATGGAGTTAGCGCTGATGCCACAAGACCTGGGCCTCGGCCGGTGGCCAGGAGGGTGTAGGGGGTGGGGAACGAGGAGGGCGGGGGTGGTCAGCACTCAGGAGGGGGTGAGCAGTGGGGAACGAGGAGGGCGGGGGTGGTCAGCACTCAGGAGGGGCAAGGGGTGGGGAACGAGGAGGGCGGGGGTGGTCAGCACTCAGGAGGGGCAAGGGGTGGGGAACGAGGAGGGCGGGGGTGGTCAGCACTCAGGAGGGGGTGAGGGGTGGGGAACGAGGAGGGCGGTGGTGGTCAGCACTCAGGAGGGGGTGAGGGGTGGGGAACGAGGAGGGCGGGGGTGGTCAGCACTCAGGAGGGGGTGAGGGGTGGGGAACGAGGAGGGCGGTGGTGGTCAGCACTCAGGAGGGGGTGAGGGGTGGGGAACGAGGAGGGCGGGGGTGGTCAGCACTCAGGAGGGGGTGAGGGGTGGGGAACGAGGAGGGCGGGGGTGGTCAGCACTCAGGAGGGGGTGAGGGGTGGGGAACGAGGAGGGCGGTGGTGGTCAGCACTCAGGAGGGGGTGAGGGGTGGGGAACGAGGAGGGCGGGGGTGGTCAGCACTCAGGAGGGGGTGAGGGGTGGGGAACGAGGAGGGCGGGGGTGGTCAGCACTCAGGAGGGGGTGAGGGGTGGGGAACGAGGAGGGCGGGGGTGGTCAGCACTCAGGAGGGGGTGAGGGGTGGGGAACGAGGAGGGCGGTGGTGGTCAGCACTCAGGAGGGGGTGAGGGGTGGGGAACGAGGAGGGCGGGGGTGGTCAGCACTCAGGGTGATGATGGGTAGATGCCCATGTCTTGCCTACCTCCCCGAGCTCTGTGGGGTCTCCAGGGCCCCATCCCCTCGCTCACTTGCTCCATGTCCCTGAGCCTGCTCTGCCCACATCCCAGGAGCCTCCTGACTGCAGAGGCACTCCACGCCCCAGTCCCCATCATCCTGGGCCTCCCTGGGGCCTGGCTTTGCTGATCTCTCCCTTCTCTGTGGGTCCCTCTCTATAGAAGCTTCTGGGTCCCTCTCCATCTGGGATTCCCCTTGCTCTCTGGCAGCATCTCCTTGGGCCCCTGCCTGGCCCTGGATCGCTGCTGTGGTGTGGGCTCTACCTGCGGCCCCTGTGCTCTTCTTTCCTTCTTGTTCCTTGGGGGACTCCGTGTTTCCAGCCATACTGACCCTCTCGGGATGAAGACCATTCGGGGGTCCTCGGCGCATCCCGACTCCCCGTGCCCCACACAGAGCTTCCCCCATCTTCCTCACCTCCTCTTTGCCCTGTTGCCTTCATGAGGAACCCAGGACTCCCCTCAACACTTCCCTCTCCCCAGCCTTACATCCAGCAAGTCCTGCCAAGAGCTTCCCAGGGGTCCCCCAGCTCCCCTGTGTCTGTGGCCTGATGCAGCCCCGCCCCACCACCTCTGAACCTCCTGATCTCACCACAACTCTGAAAACCCAGCCCCTCCAGCCACACCCCCACCACCTTGGGGCACAGGAGTGGCCTTCATGAAGCTCTACCAGCCCTCATACCTCATTGAACTCCGGGTTCAGGGTTTTTTTCTTTACTGCTGTCTTATGTTTGGATTTCTTGTCCACATCTGGCCTCAGGTATCTGGAATTACATCCAAAAGACAGGCAGAGGATGGGGACAAACTGCGGGGTATAGATCAAGCCCGTGGGGATGAGAAGAGCTTTCCGTCCTTGGAGATTCCTGGGCCCTTCTTTTGTTCTAATAATTGGATTTTCCCAACACTATTTTGTGGCAAAGGTGAGACATTGTTTTCGACAACCAAGCGGTCCTTTCATTTGCCTCACTTCTGTTCACACACACATTTCTGAAATTAACCATGGCGGGCCCCTCCATCCACCTAGGAAAGGGGTTTTTCCTCATTTCTGAAGTCTAGTTTTCACAAGGCTCATGCTTCCCACCAGAATAGAGTTTTTAGCAGAGTTGGCCTCACGTGCAAGCTTTTCTTTTTGTTGCTCTGTAGCCAGGCCTGGAACACGATGGCACAATGTCGGCTCACTGCAACCTCTGCCTCCCGGGCTTAAAGGTTCAGCAATTCTCCTACCTCAGCCTCCCAAGAAGCTGGGACTACAATCGCCCACCACCACACCCAGCTAATTTTTGTATGTTTGAGTAGAGATGAGGTTTCACCATGTTGGCCAGGATGGTCTCGATCTCTTGACCTTGTGATCTGCCTGCCTCAGTCTCCAAAAGTGCTAGGATTCCAGGCGTGAACCACTGCACCTACCTTTTTTTTTTTTTTTGAGATGGAGTTTCGTTCTTGTCACTGAGGTTGGAGTGCAGTGGCATGATCTCAGCTCACTGCAACCTCCGCCTCCCGGGTTCAAACGATTCTCCTGCCTCAGCCTCCCAAGTAGCTGGGATTACAGGTGCCTGCCACCATGCGCAGCTAATTTTTGCATTTTTAGTAGAGATAGGGTTTCGCTGTGTTGGTCAGGCTGGTCTTGAACTCCTGACCTCAGGTGATCCACCCACCCTGGCCTCCCAAAGTGCTGGGATTACAGGTGTGAGACACCATGCCAGGCCTCAAGCTTCTATTATAAAATAGCAGATTTATTGAGTTGTATTTCACATACCATTAAAAAAAAAATCCATCCTCGTGAAGTATACAATGCAGTTGTCTTTTGTATACTCCCAGAGTTGTTTAACCATCAACACTACCTCGTTGGACTTTTGAGGAAGGAGAAGACCTTTTGTAGAGTAACAGGGAGGCCAGCTAGATGGTCTTGTCTCTGTTAGCATTAAGGCCTTAGACTCTGATGCAGAACAGCTGCCTTCCTCTGAGGCTCAGAAAGGTGGAGTGACTTGCCCAAGGTCACACAGCCGGCAAGCACAGGGGTGGTGCTCCTTTCTCTATGACACTGAAGTCATGTGCAGGCTGAAGAAGGGAACAAGAGGTCCCCAACTTCTTTGCAAAACTTCTCACCCTGTCCCTGCATGGACGATTACATGACAATTGACCTGCCCCTACCAGGTGTGCTCTGGGGTCTGTGGAGTCTCACCCACTACCAACTCCCTAGGCCTGGCACCGGGGAGCTCAACAAACATCTGTCCAATGAATACCTGAATCCCCAGAAGTGAAGGCACCTGCCCAAAGGCACACCTGTGTCCAACTTATCTTGTTTTGCCCAGCTGCTCTCCAGAAAGGCTGCATGGTTGACACAGCGCCCTCAACAAAGCTGGATGCTATCACTTACAAAATCCTTGCTGGTTTCAGAGCAGAAAATGCTATCTCACAGTTGCTTTATTTTGCATTTTTTAAAATTTTGATTTTTATGGCATAAATAACACTTGTTTATTATAGAAACACTAGAAAATGCATAAGGACAAAACTTGGGATTACGAGAGAGAAATGAAGACATCTGTCCACACAGAAACCTGCTCTTCGCTGCGTTCTACCATCACCAAAATTTGGAAACACGCCCTTCAGCTAGGGAACTAACCAACAACAAACCTGTGGTTTACTCTTGCGAGGGAAGCCTATTCAGCAATAAAAAGGACTGAACTCCTGGCACCTGCAACCGACAGGTGCATCTCAACACATTCCGCTGCGTGAAAGAAGCCGGACTCACGGGGCACACGCTGGCTGGCTGCCTTCATGGGGAAGTCTGGAAAAGGCAACACTATTGACACAGAAAACAGCTCAGTGGTTTCCTGGGGCCAGGGAGGTTTCTGGAGTCATGTTCTGTATCTTGATTGTGGTGGTGGTAGCAAGATTGTACCAGCCTGGGCAATACAGTGAGACCCCATCTCTACAAAAGAATGAAAACTTAGCTGGGCATGGTGGCACATGCCTGTAGTCCCAGCTCTCACAGGGCTGAGGTGGGAAGATCACTTGAGCCCAGGAGCTCAAGGCTACAGTGAGCCATCTTTGCACCACACTACTCCAGCCTGGATGACAGAGCAAGACCCTGTCTAAAAAAAAAAGGGAAAACTCAGCATGTGAATGATACATGTTGAGGATCCATTATCTGAAACGCTTGGACCAGATGTTTTGAATTTTGGGTTTTTTCAGATTTTGTAACATTTGCAGTGTATTTACCAGTTCAGTATCCCTAATTCAAAATTTCAAAAATTGAACAATCTGAAATCCCAAATGCTTCAATGAGCATTTCCTTTGAGCGTCGTGTGAGCGCTTAGAATGTTTTGGGTTTTGGATTTGGGATGCTCAACCTGTACCTCAAAAAACCTGACTAAAATAAAAAGTGCAGGGGAATCCCACTAAGCCCGCCACCCGGAGACAGTGGTTTCCTTTCGTTACTATGCTCCTCGGCCATTTTGCTGCGTGCTGATACTGTTTCTGCTGTGAACTGTCCTTGGTCTGTTTGTGACGGGGCGAAGAGCAGTGTCAGAAGAGTCCTGCAGGCCCTGCCTTCACGACTCCCTGGAAGGAATGTGGTTTGGGGATTTCTGTGCCCTCAGCCTCCACAACCTGTGTTCATCTAGTGACCCCTCCTCACTCCGCCACCAGACTTCCACAGGGCGCCTACAGCCATGGACAGTTCCTCTGCTCTGCTGCTTTCTCTGCTGGGAGTGCCCTTCCATCCTGACCTGACACTGGGGAGATCCCTGAGCATCCTCCCTGAGCACACCTGCTCTGGGACAGGGCACCCTGTGAAGCCCCAGAGGCCAGCTCTGTGGCGTCTCTCCGTCCCTGGCTGTCGGGACAGTGGACCTGGCCCCCTGGGGTCATGAACCCTCCAAGTCATGCACCTTGAGCCCCCTGCACAGCGACTCCTGTTTGCCTGCGGCTTTGAGAAGAAACCCTTCTGGTTCTAGATAAGAGAGCCGGAGAAGGAAGGGAGTTGCCCAGGCTGGCACAGCAAGTTGCTGCCAGTTGCCGCCATTTTCGCTGGTATGAAATGCAGATAACAGAAGCGACTGCATAGGCTGCTGGGAGAGTCACACGCAGCCACCGCACAGCCCAGAGTTATTGCTTGGCATGTCAGCAACTGTCACAGCCACTGCTACTCCTGGGGTTTTCCATCACACCTTCCAGAGCTGGGCCTGGAAGCACTGAGTCAAGTGTCACCAGAAATGAGGTTTATAAAAATAATGGTGCATGGCTGGGCACGGTGGCTCACACCTGTAACCCACACTTTGGAAGGGCAGATCTAGGAGAATCACTTGAGTCCAGGACTCTGACACCAGCCTGACCAATATGGCGAAACCCAGTCTGTACAAAAAATACAGAAGACAACTAGCCAGGCGTGGTGGTGCACACCGGTAGTCCCAGCTACTCGGGAGGCTGAGGCGGAAGGATGGCTCGAGCCCAGGAGTTGGAGGCTGCTGTGAGATATGATCGTACCACTGCATTCCAGCCCAAGTGACAGAGTAAGTCACTGTCTCAAAAAATTAAAGGAAGAAATACAGAAATAAAAATAATGGTGCAGATAAAAGGCACTGACCCATCTAGCTTTGCCTCTCAGCATCAGCCACTGGGCACATCCCTCCCCGTCTTCCGGGGCACAGGTCACTGTCTCTCTTCCAGGTCAAGGATGCAGCTGAGGGGTACCCCTCTTACCATCTAGCCTGTGCCCTTATTTCCCCTGCTATTAGTGAGGACAAAGCCCCTGGTCCATGAAGGTCCCTTTCGGAGATGGGCGTCCCTGAGGAGACCTGAACAGCAGCCCCATGTCTCACCCAGGGAGTATGAAACAGACATGGAGGTCTCAGGTGAGGTGTAGCTCAGATACAGGGAGTGGCCCACAGCTCTGCTGGTCTGAAAGGCAACATGACCTGGCCCGTGCCTGGCATGTGGGACCCAGCTCAAGAGTTCCAGCAGCACCTAGACCAGCCCCCTGTGGCAGGGAGGAGCCTGTGGTGCAGTGGACAGACCCTGCCCAGGAGGCCCCCTGCTTGCCTGTGGAAGTAGCTGAACCATCTCTCACAGTAGGTAAGACCTCGCTGTCTGGGCAACCCAGCAGGCAGCCCTGGACTTCCTGTCCATCTGGCAGGTGGGCATGTAACTTCGTTTAAAAATTTCACACCATAGGTTGGGCATCGTGGCTCACGCCTAAAATCCCAGCACTTTGGGACCTGAGGTGGGTGGACTGCTCGAGGTCAGGAGTTGAAGACCAGCCTGGCTGACATGGTGAAACCCCACCTCTACTAAAACTACAAAAATTAGCCAGGCATGGTGGTGCATGCCTGTAATCCCAGCTACTCGGGAGGCTGAGGCAGGAGAACTGCTTGAACCTGGGAGGCAGATGTTGAAATGAGCTGAGATTGTGCCCTGCACTCCAGCCTGGACAACAGAGTGAGACTCTGATCTCAAAAAAAAAAAAAAAAAAAAAAAAGATTGCACCCTTTGGCAAGGATGTATACACATGAGCTTCAAGTCAATGACAAGTCAGAAGAAAAAATACATACGCAAACCAGTTTCCTACTATGTGTGTCGTTTGGTGTTTTGAACAGCTGTCCATTTACAGTAATTCATATAGTTCTAATTTATTCATTTTCACTGCATAGTACTACATTCTACACATACGCCACATTTCGTCAATCTATTCCTCTGGTGATGAATGTTTGACTATTTCCAGTTTATAGCTACCACAAGCAATGCTGCTACAGCTACCCACCCCTGCCCAGGTTTCTAGGAAATAACCCTGGAAGGAAAGCAATGTGGTCACAGGGCATCCACATTTTCCACATCAACTAGACACTACCAGCTTTCTCCCCAGTGCTTATTACAAGGATCTCCTGAGTGTCTTCTGAGCATTCACAGAGCTTCCTCCAACACTCAGGTCTCCAGTGCGCTAAGAGACTGTTTGCTCATTGTTGAGGCTGGGGCCTACTTCAGTGTTTGCCACAGAGAAACCCAGTAGCCCCTGCGCTATTTTTGGGAGCCTAACTTCCCCTAAAGATGCAGCAGGTCCTAGGCTCTGCTCCTGGAGTCTGGTGTGATTGGATTTTTAAAAATACAGATATTTGAGAGCCATCATACACATTGTGTACAAGGCACCCTTTCAGATGTGTGTAACTCAGTGGTTTGGGGTACATTCATGGAATTATGCAGCCATCATCACAATCTTAGAACAAGAATTTTTGTCACCCCCGAAGGGAACCTAGGACCTTTCAGCAGCTACTGCCGATGTCACCTCAAGCTTCCCCTGGCTCGCAAACACAAATCCATTCTCTGCCTCTGTGGGTTGGCCTATTCCAGACACCACAGAAATGGAATCCTGCAATACGTGGCCCTCTGTGCCTGGCTTCTGTCACTTAGCGTCTTGCTCTCCAGGTTCATCCACAGTGTAAGCACTGCCCCCCTCTTTCTTAAGGCTGATACTCCGCCACGAGAACAGACTGCTTTTGTGCATCCATTCATGAGTGGATGGACACTTGGGCTGTTTCCACTGTTGGCTGTTGTGAATAATGCTGCTACGAACATTCTTGCACAAGTTTTAGGATGGACATGTTTTTCCTATCTCCAGTATACAACTAGGAGTGGAACTGCCAGATCAAATGGTGACTCTGTGTTTAACTTTCTGAGGAACTGTCAATTGCTTCCCAAAGTGGCCACCCTATGATTGTCATATTATTTTTATTTATTACTACTATTATTTTGAGGCAGTGTCTCGCTCTGTCACCCTGACTGGAGTGCAGTGGTGTGATCTCAGCTCACCACAATCTCCACCACCCAGGTTGAAGTGATTTTCCTGCCTCGGCCTCCCGAGTAGCTGGGATTAAAGGCACTCGCCACCACACCTGGCTAATTTTTGGATGTTTAGTAGAGATGGGGTTTCCCCATACTGGCCAGGATGGTCTCAAAACTCCTGACCCCAGGTGATCCACCCACCTCGGCCTCCCAAAGTGCTCAGAATACAGGCATGAGCCACTGCACACGGCCTAATGTATTTTTAACTGTAGAGACAAAGTCTCAGTATGTTGCCCAGGCTAGTCTCAAACTCCTGGGCTCAAGCAATCCTCCCAAGTAGCTAGGACTACAGGCATGCACCACTATGCCTGGCTTATTTTTACATTTTTTGTAGAGATGGGGGTCTCAAACTCCCAGCCTCAAGCAATCCTCCTGCCTTGGCCTCCCAAAGTGTTGGGAATATAAGTGAGAGTCACTGCACCTGCCCCATATAATTTTAAAAGTGGCAGGAATACGATCACAGCTAGCGGGAATGGTGCCCCCAGGGCTGTGCCACAAGTAGTACTGGCCTCTTCGTGGTGCCAAGATGCCCCCAAGACCTTAGTCACTTGGGTCCCTGATGTCCCCTAGGTTAGAGCCATTCCTCTGTCACTCCCCCTCCCTGAAGCACCTGCCCCTCCTTTCTGCTGAACTAAATTCCTCCCTAAGTCTCCCCTTTCCAGAGTCTGCCTGCGAGCTCAGACTCGTGCCTACCTAGTTTCTGCAGAGCCCCAAGCACTGAAGGCGGCTGCTATAGCACCTGCGACACCCTCTCCAAAGGGCTAGGGCTCCTGCCTGGCTCTCAGAGCGACACAGCCCATCCTAGCCAGGCTCACAAGTCCACAGCTCCAGGGCCCAGGTCACCTGGCATGGCCCTTCAGTGTGTCTCCCCAGGACCACCACTGGCCTCCACTGGTAGACCTGGGTAGACTCTTAGCCACATCTGTGGCCCCAGGATAGGGCTGGGCACAGGTGGGCAGTTGCCAAGGCCAGGAAGACTTTCTCTGCCACCTCTCCCAGCCTCCTGGCTACCCCTGGCACTGGCCCCGACTTCTCCTATCCCCTTCTCCAACCTGCTCATGGCCCCTCCTGGGCCCCTCAGTCACAGAGAAGCCTGGACATGGCATCAGGAGATAACTAATACCTGCATGACGCTGGGAAGCCACTCAGCTTCTCTGGGCCTCAGTTTCCCCACCTGTGAAATCAGCTGGCCACGTTTAACCCCTGGATTTGCCAAAGGATCCCATCAGGGAACATGGCACCCCTGAACCTCAGCTGCTCCCTGGGTGCCTGTCACCTGAGACCACGGAGGCCAGAGGTGAGGTGGTGGCAGGTGGTCACATGCATGGCACACTCACGTTTTCACGTAGGGGTCCGAGTAGCCATTGGCGTCCATGGCAGCCAGGTGTGCGCACCGCACGATGCCCACCAGCAGGCCCTGCTTCTGCGAGCTGTACTTGAGAGAGATGAGGATACGGCCCCGCTCCTCCAGGGACTTGTCTTCGGTCTTGTCCACCTGTCGGAGGGACCGGTCCCTTAGTCCTCACCTGCCCCCACCCCTCTCTCGGCCAGCCTTGCCTCCCTTTCCTGAGCCCACCCACTCCCACTGCTGCAGCCGGACCTGGTCATGGCCCCCGGTGAGTGGTCACATGGTGAACTCACAGCCTTTCTGTTATCTCTTCCCTCCCAAGGTTTCTGCCGGGGATGGATCTGCCCTCCCGCTCCTTGTTCTTGGCTGCCTGGTCTGGGGTGGCCTTCACAGCCTGTCAAGGGCCAGCGCAGGGGTTGGGAACTGCAGCCCAGGGGCCAGATTAGGTCCAATGCCTGGCTCTGTGTGGAACATGAGCTGAGGGTAGCTCTTGCCCTCTTTAAGAAAATTGTTTAAAAAACAAAATAGAGACGGGGGTCACGATGTTGCCCAGGCTGATCTCAAACTCCTGGGCTTGGCCTTCCAAAGTGCTGGGATTATAGGCGTGAGCCACCGTGCCCGGCTGGTTCTTACTTTTTTGAGTAGCAGAAAGAAAAATGAAAAGTATTTTGTGGCACATGAAAATGACATGAAATTCACACTTCAGCTTCCATTGATAACATGTTAATTGCAACACAGCCTTGCCAGCTCCTTGACGCCTTCCCTGTGGCTGCCTTTGCTCTAAGGACAGAGATGCGTGGCGCCTGCACACCGCGTGGCACACACGGCCTGACGTCTGCCCTAACCAGCCCTTCACAGCAGTCTGCAGTGCCAAGCCCGGCGCCCTTGGCTTCCACAGATGGTTCTCTGCCTCGTCCTACCTCACAGGCTGCCTTTCTCTACAGTCCCGAGGCTTTGAAGCCGGGTCCCACCTCCACGCCTCTGCACACACTGTACCCACAGCTCCAACACCCTCCTCTGTGTTCACTGCTTGATGAATTCCTGGTCCTCTGGGCCTAAGCTCGGTGCAAGTGGCACAAGACTGGGAGGCATTTCTGACCCTCAGGGTGGGCTGCCCGTCCCCTCATGATCCCACTGCCTTGGCTTCTGTCCTGTCTGGGTGGCCCCCTGCTTCCTCATAGGTCTGTCCCAGCCTCTAAGTTCCTTGAAGTTGGAACTCCACCTGTAACTTTTTTTTTTTTTTGAGACAAGAGACTTGCTCTTGTCACCCAGGCTAGAGTGCAGTGGCTCACTGTAACCTCTGCCTCCCGGGTTCAAGCGATTCTCCTGCCTCAGCCTTCTGAGTAGCTGGGACTACAGGCATGCCCCACATACCCGTCTAATTTTTGTATTTTTTGGCAGAGACAGGGTTTTACCATTTTTACCAGGCTGGTCTCGAACTCCTGACCTCAAGTGATCCGCATGCTTCAGCCTCCCAAAGTGCTGGGATTACAGTTATGAGCCATCGTGTCAGGCTAATACCTGCATCATCTTTAATACCTCAGGGCTGGGCAATAGCCTGGCACTAAGTGCCCACTGGAGGCTTGTCCTAGTGAAGGCAGGAATGGAGGGACAGGTGGTACCCTATGGGTTCAACCTCATGCAACCAACTCCAGCTTTGGGGGGGGGGAGGGTTTCGAAGACAGGCAGAAAGGTCTGCCCATGCCAGTGGAGCCTGGTGGATGGAAAAAGGTCACCCTAGCCCCAGTCCCCCAAAGATGCCTCTCAGGGAGCTGGAGGTGGCTCACTCAGGAGAACCCAGAAGACAGAGCTCTGGTACATTCCTCCCCTGGGAAAGCTGGGAGCCAGGTCGGGAGGCCACTCAGTGCCCCCCGTGCCCCAGCAGCTGCCTGGTGCCTGCCTCTCGGGGCAGATCTCTGCTCCAGGCCTCCCCATCCCCAGCCAGCCTGATGCTTCTCCACTCCTTGCCCTCCCCAGACCACCCGGCTGCTTCTTTTGGCTGCTACACACCCCAAACCCCTTCTCCTAGGCCCTGAGCCAACCCCGGAACACCAGCTCGAACCCTGTGTCTCCCTGGGTCCCCTTAGGACTCTGCCCGGCTCCTCTCCTAAGCAGCCCCAGCCACATCCTGTTGCTCACAATTGTGCCCTGCCTGGCACCAAGTCAGTCCCTCTGTAGCTACATGTAACCCTTTCTGGAGATGAGACTCCTGTGAGGTGAGCAGGGATGTCTAGCAGGGAGGACACACATGGGGGCCACCTTCCCCACCTCCCACGCCCGCAGTAGACATGGCTAATCGATCCCAGCATTTGCTCTGAGCTCCAATGCCACCTCAGAATCCTTCTCAACACACTGCTCAGACAGCCGTTCCCGATGGATCAGGCCAGGCCCGCGAGATCTGTTTGCCCCTCAGGTTGAGCTTTGTGCGTGAGGGCCTTAATGCACTGTGCTGCTTGTGTCAGTGTGTGTGATGTGAAAATTAAATGATATAAACTAGCAGGGGCCAGGCATGGTGGTGCATGTCTGTGACCCCAGCACTTGGGAAGGCCGAGGCAGGTGGATCACCTGAGGTCAGGAGTTCAAGACCACCCTGGTCAACATGGTGAAACACTGTCTCTACCAAAAACACAAAAATTAGCCAGGAATGGTAGCAGGTGCCTGTAATCCCAGCTTCTTGGGAGGCTGAAGCGGGAGAATCGTTTGAACCCAGGATGCAGAGGTTACCGTGAGCCGAGATTGTGCCACTGCACTCCAGCCTGGGCAACAGAGCAAGACTCCATCTCAAACAAAACAAAACCAAAAAACAAAAACAACAACAACAAAAAAAATAGCAGGGATATTTTCAGCTGTTTTTTCAGGGGTGGAATATGGTATTTTGGGTTGTTTCATAAGACCATTGGGTATTATTCAGTATTGACTTAAAATAGATAATGTTCAGACTGTAAAATCTAAAATGTACACCAGAGGCCTGGCACAGGGGCTCATCCCTATAATCCCAGCAGTCTGGGAGGCCAAGGCAGGGGGATCACTGGAGGTCAGGTGTTCAAGACTTGCCTGGCCAATGTGGCAAACCCGTCTCTACTAGCAATACAAAAATTAGCCAGGCATGGGGGCTCACGCCTGTAATCCCAGCACTTTGGGAGGTTGAGGCAGATGGATCATTCTAGGTTAGGAGTTTGAAACCAGCTTGGCCAACATAGTGAAACCCCGCCTCTGCTAAAAATACAAAAATTAGCTGGGTGTGGTGGCGCGTGCCTGTAATCCCAGCTACTCAGGAGGCTGAGACACAAGAATCACTTGAACCCAGAAGTAGAGGTTGCAGTGAGCCGAGATTGTGCCACTGCATTCCAGCCTGGGTGACAGAGCAAGACTCTGTCTCAAAAAAACATAAAAATAAGTAAATAAAAGTATCACCAGAATGTGGCTTTACTGCCAGGGGGGTATCCCGAACTGCCCTCCTGTGGCTACTGTGTGTCCCTGAACTGCACCAATGAGCTGATAGCACATCCAGCAACGCCCTGATCATGGCCATGCACAGGCACGCACACGTTTTCACCAACACATAACACACACATAGACATACGCTCACACATACAATTCACATACGGGCACATACACACACACACGTTGACACCCCACGTACACATCCACATCGTTGTTTATGCCGGTGATCAAAACTCAGGAACACAACTACAGTAGGGCTGATGTAACCCTTCTTAAGTGACAAAGATCATGTGGGAAAACCGGGTTACCTGTGGTTAGTGACCAATAGTAACACAGAAAAAGTGATATCCATCACACAAATGTCTGGGTGGGAGGGAACGTGATCAGGAAATCAAACTGGACCACGTGACGCGGAAAGACAGACCTGGGACTCTGGGAGGAAGCCCCGGTCGCAGGCTGACTCGCCGCCAGGGCTTGGTTTGGGTTAAGTTGGACGTGAGTCCACATCTCCGGGCCCCACTGGGGCTCGGCACAGCTGCTGGGCTTTGTCCTCCTGAACTCGCCTTTTGCCCAGACCTCTAAGGGGACCACGTGCCAGGAAGGCGACCATAGCTCTGCCTGTGTCCTGAACACTAGAGGGCTGAGGGCCAGCATTTCTCTCGACCCTGGTGGCACTGGGGAACCCTGGTGACAGGGCCTTCACCTGGTTCATAAGGGCTTTGCCAGCCCTTTATATATAAGACTCAGGAGGGTGTAGCTGCTGGAGCAGGCCGGGGGCAAAATCTCTTCTTACATAATGTTCAGACAAGTGCTATTTCCTGGAAAGGGCACTCTTCTGTCTCCTCTGCGTATCTCAACAGGCACTCAAGTCTAACACATTCCACGCATGCTCCTTGAGTGTCCCACCTGCCTGTGGTCCCTGCCCCAGTCCTCTGGGCACAGTGAACACCCTCTCAGGCTTCAGGGGCTCAGGCCCCAAAACCTCAGACCTGCCCTCCCCTCACCCAAGGAAGCCCTATCTGCTACCTGCACATCCGGTCCAGAATAAAGCCCCCCTCCCGCTGCAGAGGCCAGGTCAGGGCTGCGCCCATCTCTCCCTGTCTCCCCAGGCCTCCCGCCCTCTCCTCCCTCTTCTTCCAGACTTCCTGAGCCCAGGGCCAGCAAGCCTGGTAAAATGTCATCCCCCACGTTCCCTCTGCCTAGCACCTGCCATGGCCACTCAGAGTGAAAGCCATGGTCCTTCCTCGCCTCTTCAAGCTCACCTCCTCCATCTCCCCTGCCCTTCACTCTGCCCCTCATTAGCCCATCACAGGCACCAAGTTCTGCCTTCTCAGCACCTGCCACTGAGCCAGGTATACAGCAGGTGCTCAACCAGTGCTCTCACCGGCAGCTGCTTCTCCAGGCAGATGCTGAACGTCTTGGTGTGGTTGGGTTTCAGCTTCTTCAGAGGCACCCGCGTCTCCCCGATGAACTCATTGTGTCGGAATTTGTCCTCGTCGCACACGGAGATCCTGGCGGGGGTGGGGGGGGGCAAGAGGCACAGCCAGCGCCTCAGACGCACTGGGCGTGGGGGGCGGTGCGAGGGTAGGGCCGGCCCTGGCTTTTCCTGCCCTGGTCTGGGGAGGGAGAGGCACAAGATGCATGGGTGACAGGGCCAGAGTGTGGCAGGATGTCAGGCACTGTCCTCCTGGACAAGTGTCCTCCAGTTCGAGGAGGGGACAGGAGAAAGCAGGGGTAGCCAGGAGGCTGGGGGAGCCAGTTCTCCAGAGGAACCACCTCCAGCACACTGAGAGGCCCCAGGAAGCACCTTCAGGGGACAGGCCAGGGTGACCCTTTTCCATCCACCAGGCTCCACTGGCATGGACAGACCTGTCTGCCTGTCTTTGAATCCAGGCTGGAGTTGCTGGCATGAGGTTAAACCCACAGGGGACCATCTGACCCCAAGTCCTGCCTTCACTAGGACAAGCCATGTGGGGGCGGGGACAGGGAGGGAGCAGCGGCCCGGGCCCCTCACCCACCGCAGAGTCTTGCGGATCATGTCTTCGTCTGTGATCCCGTAGTAAGTGAGGGTCTCGTTCCACATGGGGTTCAGAGTGTTACGGAGAGTCTTTGTTCTGAGCTTATTTGCCTGGAGAAGGGAAAAATGGTATTATGAGCATGAAAGGATATGTCCGACAGAACAGTAGCCCCCAGAGATGGCCACGTCCTCATCCTGGAACCTGTGAATAGGTTCTCAACACGGCCAAGGGAGTGGAGGCTGCAGGTGGAGTTGGGGCGTTAACAGGCTGACATTACAACAGGGAGACGATCCTGGATTGTCTAGGTGGCCCAGTGTGGTCACAGGGTGCTTAAAAGCAGAAGGAGCAAAGAAGAAAGTCAGACTTCGATGTCACCAAGGAAGGCAGCCACAGGGCCTGCTGTGAAGGTGGAGGGAGGGCCCAGTACAGGAGGGTGGGCGGCCTCTAGAAGTCGGAAAGAGCCAGGCAATAGGTAGGCTCCCCGGGCTCCAGGAGAAACGCAGCCCCTGCTGACACCCTGATTTTAGCCCAGGGAGAGCACGGTTGGACTGTGACCTGCACAGCTGTCAGAGTAAGCGCCCTGCTTCAAGCCACGAGGTTCGGGGTCATTTGCTGCAGCAGCCAGTAGGAGGCTCATCCAAGGGGGGTCCTGCCTCCAACCCCTGATGCCTGGGGTGGGTTCTGCAGGAGGCCTGTGTGGAAACAGAATCTCCTTCCCAGGGCACGCCCTGCCTTTTCGGACTGTCCCCTCTGCCTGGAACCCATCCTGTCCTCCGGCATGCCTCGGGGGTGGCCTCTCTGAGCTGGAACTTTGAAGCCACTCCGTCCTCCGGAGCCATCGACTCTGAGCTCCGTGTTTGAATTGGCCTGATGCCTGCCACACCCGGCCCAGGCTGGGAGGTCAGCAGCCCCAGCTTCCAATTCCAGCTCTGGGGCAGCATCGGGTTCTGCACCACGGACAGGGCACAGGAATCCCTCTCACGTTGCTTTCAGGACCTTGTTTACAAGGAGACCACAGTTTATAAAACACTAGGGAGAGTCCTGGGGACCTCCTAAGATGTGGCAGCCAGGCACTGCCAGCTTTAGTCCCACCAATGAGGGGACCCTGAGCTCCTGTGTCAGGCACACGTCCCCGGTCACACTCGCCCTGGCCCTCACACACCAAGCCGACCTGCATAAGGACATCGAGGCCCGCCTGGCATGCGGAGCCCATTTCTTCCCCAGGACTAGGTGGTGGGGCGCTGCCATTTCTCCTGCAGCCCTGTCTCCCTAGAGAAGGGGATGGCCCCTTCTGAGCTGGTCCTCCTGGACCCCAGGCCTACACCTTTAGGGCCCCAAGTCAACTCAGACTCTGCCCCATGAAATTAAAACAACACTGAAGCGTCAGATGCACAGAAGGAAGGCTGATTAGGTTCTGATTTTCCACAGCTCAAAGTCACCTTGATGCTTTTATTTAACAGCAGCTTTTTTCCCTAGATGCACCTTTGTGCTGGTGGCCCGAGTGCACGTGTGGCTGACCCCCAGGTCCCCCAGCGCAGGAACAAGGATCCTGTGGTCAAACACATGGGGCAGACGCTGCCCACTTCATCCTCCTTACGGAGAGTCAAGGAGCAGCCCATCAACACATTAAATGGTAAGTCCTACGGTACAGAAACCTGCTTCCCAGCGCTTCCCAGTGTTATGGAACCACAGAGTCCTCTGTTTGTACCTAACAGTAACTTCCAGTTGCAGATGCTTCTCATGAAATGCCGGCCTGTAAATTCTCCAGGGGTTTCCCCAGACCAGCAGGTAGGTAAGGCGGACACGTGAGGTCCCCGGAGGCATCCCGGGTGTCGGCAGACCTGGCGCTCTGTGTGGAGGTGAATGGCTGAGGTCCCCTCAGTTTGTGTGGGTTCTGAGGGGAGTGGCAGCCGTGGGCCTCCCTGGGTGCCCCCAGCCTAGTCCGGGCCCCGTCACCGTGGGCAGGTGCAGCTGGTGGGCAGGCCTGCGTGAAACCCCTCACCTTACTGGCTCCGGGCAGCAGGTGCAGCTTGACGTAGGGGTCTGCCAGCCCATTGTGGTCCATCGGCTTCAGGCCCTGGGCAGAGAACAGCAAAGGGTGTGAACTGGAAATCAGGGAGACGGAGCCTGCAGGTGCCCCTGTCCCCCTGGGTGGGTCCACTCATGGCCCCTTTCACAGAAGCCCCCAGGCCCCACCACACCTCCAGACAGACAGCGCGAGGCTGGCTCAGCGCCAGGGCAATCTCCCCTCCCACTAACATCCGGGCCCAGGGCAGCTGTCAGGGGCCTCTGTCAGGACAGACTTTCTCTTTCTCTTCTCTCCCTGGAAGCCAGGTGGCTCCCCTCCCTCCGAACCTCCCTCCCCACCCGCTGTGGTCAGGCCCTTCTCCTAACTCCCCTCCCCCATCTTCCGAGCACAGCCTCCTGAGTGGCCCAGTCCCTCACTGACCCTCAATCCACGTAACCCCGGGACACGGTCCGAGACCAGGCCCCGCTTTGGGCCGTATTTGCCACAACTCCCAGTCAGTCCATGGAGGTCACACAAACTGGCCACAGAGGTCCCTCCACAAGATGGCACCCCTCACTCACTCTGGTTTTTTCTAGAAAACCCAGCCACGCGTGCACAGCTGGGGCGCACAGAAGCACGCACAGGGGCTTTGCTGACCTCAGCAGGCTCCTGTTTCTGAAAACTGCATTTTTTTCTTCTGGGCTGGTGCACAGGAATGTAGGGAGGCAGCTGTGGCATCTATGGGGTGCAGCTGGCAACCCCAGGACATTATTCAAAGACGCACTGCAAGGCTTCTACCCAGCCGGGTCACACCAGCCCATCTCCAAGGGAGGCTGAGGCTCCCTGCCAGGTCCACCCTGCCTTGGTTTGACGGAGCCCTGGGGGATTCAGTGGAGACTTCCAACCACCCACTTCTCCGACGCTGGCAAAGGGCAGAGGTGTGGGGGAGCCACCTGGCTGGCTTGGGTTCTGGGCTTAGCTCCTGGGGTCACCAGTTGGGAAGTGGATGAGTTACTTTGCATCTAACCCTCAACTTTGTCATCTGCAAAACGGGTTGGCTGGGAGCAGTGGCTCATACCTGTAATCCCAGCACTTGAGCCCAAGAGTTCAAGACTAGCCTGGGCAACATAGTAAGACCCTGTCTCTTCAAAAACTAAAAAATTACCTGGGCATAGTGGCCTATGCCTGTGGTCCTAGCTACTGTGGAAGCTGAGGTGGAAAGATTGCTTGAACCTGGGAAGCGGAGGCTGCATTGAGCCATGATCACACCACTGCACTCCAGGCTGGTTGACAGAGCAAGAGACCCTGTCTCAAATTACCAAAAAAAAAAAAAAAAAAAAAGGGCAGGGGTGTAATGGTCCCACCTTCCTGGGGCTGAAGTGAGAGGCAGGGAGACGGTGTGGGCCCAGGGCCTGGCAGGCAGGGCAGTGCTCCCTTCTCTGCACGCCAGGCCCTGCGAGGTGCTGGAGAAGTGGCTGAGGTCCAGGGGACACATCTGAGCTGTGCCCTGCACTGTGGGGCTGCCTCTGGGCCAGGGCCTGGTTCAGTGGCCCCACGTGTGCTCAAAGTGACAAGGCTGCTCTTCCAAACCCAAGTGCCTCAGTGCAGAGTTCTGGGAATCTGTGGCCCAGCCTGAGCGGGGAGGGTGCCCCACCGCTGTGTCTTATTCTTACTTTCGTATACATTTGTTTGTTGTAGCTTAAAATGTTTCATTTGGCCCATGTTTCTCCACCCAGCCCTCTGGGGGGCTGGCCTCCCACGGAGCCTGACCTCTGTCCATAGAGGGGGAAGGCCAGGAGCTGCTAGCGGGGCTCTTGGGCAGACTCCCAGTTGGGGAGTCCTCCAGGAGACACACACCGACCCCGTGGGTTAAGGGGGGGCCTCACCGGAGGTGATCTGGTTAGGCTGTGTCCCATCCAGATCTCATCTTGAATTGTACCCTACCATTCCCACATGCTGGGAGGCAGAACCAGTGGGAGGTAACTGAGTCACAGGGGGAGCTTCCCCCATACTGTTCCTGCAGCAGTCAATCAGTCTCACAGGATCTGATGGTCTGATAAGGGGAAACCCATCTTGCTTGGATTCCATTCTCTCTCTTGCCACCAAACATGTGAGATGTGCCTTTCACCTTCCGCCATGATCGTGAGGCCTCCCCAGCCTTGTGGAACAGGAAGTCTGATAATCCTCTTTCCTTTATAAATTACCCAGTCTCAGGTACGTCTCTACCCGCCGTGTGAAACGGACGAATCCAGGAAGGAAGGGCGGAGGAGGCCCCGGGAAAGGCCCTGGCCAGCACTGAGGAAACACATGGGGGCTCTGGCTTTAAGAGGACAGCCTCTCCCCAAAACCCCAGCCCTGCCCAGCCCTGCCCGCCCTGGGCCTCTCGGAGGCTGCTGCTGGCGAAGCGTTCAGGAGAGGAGCTTCCTAGTCTCAAGCATCATTCAGCCTGAAAAAGGAAGTTCTGACCCGCCCTGCGACGGGATGCAGCCTGAAGACTTTGCGCTGAGCGAAGACGCCAAGGACAGGTGCTGGGGAACTGCTCGTGTGCGGATCCCGGAATACCCCGGACAGTCACATCCAGAGGGAAGGCGGCAAAGCGGCGGCCTCCCCAGGGCCCGGAGGGGAGGAACGGGGGCTGTTTAATGGGCAGTTTCAGTTCTGGAAACTGAAGAGGGTCCCGGACATGGGCTGCACAGCAGTGTGAAGGTAGAAGGTTCTCAGCACGACTGAACTGCGCACCAAAAATGGCTGAGCGTGGAGGGGAGGAGTCAAAAAAATGGTTGAGATGGGAAACTTATATTTGCTTATTTTACCACAATAAAAAAGCCACCAAGAGTCTCCTAGAACTGGCAGCACCAGGGGCTGCGTGTTAATTCACGTAATGCTCACAACAGCCATGCAGGGCAGGGACCATCAACTACTGTATTTACAGATGGGAAACTGAGACTGACCCATATCGGGGGGACCAGCAAGGGTACACCCCGGGGCGTCCTGCCTCCCCCTGGCCCTCCAGAGGCCTATGCCAGCCCTGCTTCAGCTTGGCCACCCCGGGCCCCTCCCCACACCTCAGCCCAGAACCCCAGCTCTTCCCTGGCCTGCGTCACCCCCTTCCCTACCGAACTGAATTTACATACAAGGAACCGGCCTCCCATCCCCACCTCTGATACCTGAGGGACACGGGCCAAGTGGACACACGCTTACATGTGTGCACGCCCAGTACCCACACGTGCACACAGAGACCCACGTTCAGGATACACACTTACACATGTGCACACACAGTACTCACACATGCACACACACAGACCCATGTTCAGGACACACACGTGTGCACGCACAGTACCCACACATACAGAGACTCACATTCAGTACCCACAGGCGTGCACGCACAGTACCCACACATGCACACACACAGACCCACGTTCAGTACCCACACACGTGTGCACGCACAGTACCCACACATGCACAGAGACTCACGTTCAGTACCCACACGTGTGCACGCACAGTACCTACATATGCACACAGATATCCATGTTCAGTACCCACACGTGTGCATGCACAGTATCCACACATGCAGAGACTCACATTCAGTACCCACACATGTGTGCACGCAGAGTACCTACACATGCACACACAGACCCATGTTCAGTACCCACACACGTGTGCACGCACAGTACCCACACATGCAGAGACTCACGTTCAATACCCACACATGTGCATGCACAGTACCTACACATGCACACACAGACCCATGTTCAGTACCCACACACGTGCACACACAGTACCCACACATGCACACAGAGACCCATGTTCAGGACACACACGTGTGCATGCACAGTACCCACACATGCACAGAGACTCACATTCAGTACCCACACAGGTGTGCATGCACAGTATCCACACATGCACACACACGTGTGCATGCACGGCATCCACACATGCAGAGACTCACGTTGACACACACGTGCACACACAGTACCCACACATGCACACACAGACCCACGTTCAGGACATACACTCACGTGTGTGCACACAGTACCCACACATGCACAGAGACCCACATTCAGGACACACACGTGTGCACGCACAGGACCCACACATGCACACACAGACCCTCATTCAGGACACACACGTGTGCACGCACAGTACTCACACATGCACACAGACCTCCGTTCAGGACACACACGTGTGCATGCACAGTACCCACACATGCACACAGAGACCCCTGTTCAGGACACACACATGTATGCATGCACAGTACCCACACATGCACACAGAGACCCACATAAGGGAAACCCGCCTTGCTCGGCTCTCATTCTCACATTGCTTGACTATGTGTGCACACACACGCACCTGGAGCTGGGAAGGGAAGGCCCTGGTGTCTGGCATCGGGAGAAGTGGGGGGCTTTGGCCAGAGTGGCCTGGCAGCCAGCACCCCTCCAGTCCCCAGGCCTGGACCACCTCTACAAAGCTGGGCAGAGGGAAAGGAGAGGAGTCTAGCCTGGCCTCTACCTTGGCACAGCTGGAGTTTGCCCTAGGGGTGGGCTGGAGCACCCCTGCAAGGCAAGGCTGGGCCTGCCCTGAGACGCAGCCTGGGTGGTTCTAGAGGGGCGGGCCAGGGGCAGAGCCTGGTGGTTCTAGAGGGGAGGGCAGGGGTGGGATGGGCGTACAGGCCTCTCAGTGCCCAATCAGAGCCCTGGGCCTAGGGTGGATGGCGCCCACACCTGCCCATGGTGGTCCATGTGTCATGGCCCAGGCTGGGCTGGGGGATGGCCTGTGGTGACACCCAGTAGCCTGTCCCACTGGATGGGCACGGTGCCAAGGGCAGCCCTCACTGGCAGGCTGGGAGGAAGGGCAAGGGGGGCTGCAGGTTGGGAGGCTGGGTAGGGCCTAAGCCCAGGCAGCTCTGCGGGAAGCCGCTGGATCTGAGCTGGGCTGGCTCAGGCCCTTGCGTGGCACTACTAGGGGATTCCACTGGCCACACAGGCCCTTACCTTGCGAGAGAACACCAACTTTGGCACCTGCCTCCCACAGGGAACGAGAGGGTGAGGGGCAAGGGAACAGGACACTTGAGAATATGCAGCGGACACGTTCTGGCTCAAGAGGCAGAGCCAGAGGGAAGCAGCAGGGGCGGGGCCCAGCAGCAGAGGGGCCACAGACCCCCCCGACCCCAGCCCACGTGGTGAGGCTCAGAGGGCCTCTGGGCTCGGGGCCCGGACGGCCTGCCGGCAGTGGCGTCACCTTCCGCCTGTGGCTCGGCTTCCAGGGTACACGGTGGCTCATCTGGGAGGCCCAGGGGCACCAGCCCCCAGCCCGCCACCCCCCGTGGTCTGCAGGACAGACGTCGCCCTGCCCCTCTTTCCCTCAGCAGCCCCTCCCCAGGCTCGGGGGCCTCCGTCCAGGCCTTCATCCTCCCATTCTCGTCTGTTTCTTTTCTCTGCTCCCCGAAATGCCTGACTAACCAGGGGGTTTCTTGGGGTTAGGTATTCAAGGTTTAGGCAAGAACTTTTTCCTGGCCCCACACCCCACACAGCACAGACACCCAAAAGCCTGGAGAGTAAATGGGGGAGTCTGGCCTCCCTAACCTCAGCCCTCTCTTGAGGACCCCAGGGCAGGGACTTTGAGGGCACGTTGGCAGAGCCTACCTTGGCCTTGGTGATGGTGCAGTGGAGGGCATTGCTCTCCTGGTCATACAGCAGACTGAAGTCCAGGGTGCCCAGGGCAGCTGCGAACAGAGGAGGGCACAGATCCCACGCTGGCCACGTCTTGGAGAAGCGTCACCTGCCCCTGTGTGGCCAGATGAGCCTGGCCTGGGCAGGTGCCACCATCCCATGGCGGCTGCCATGAACTGAGGACCTACTGCAGGCCAGCCCCTCACCCGTCCTCCCAGCCCCACCCAACCCTGGGAAGTCACGCCATTCTCCCCTTTCCAGAGGAGAAACTGAGACCCAGAGAGGTCAGGTGGGCACCCAGTCCTGCCTGGCCAAGTGTGAGGCCCACCTGAGCTGGGCACCCGGCCAAAAGACTTCCTGCCCTCCTGGCGCAACTGCACCCATGCCTCAGTTTCCCTCACCTGTGAATGTCACAAGGATCACACGAGAAGGCAGAGAAGAGGAGGCTTTGAGAGGGGCAGGCCTAGCCAGGAGGACCAGCTGATCTGCTCACCAGTCCCCAGGCAACACACAAGACTGCAACTCCTCTGTCTCTCGGGCCCCTTGGGGACCCTGGGCAGGCTGTGAGGAGCCAGCTACGTCCTAATACCGCTGCCCTCAAGTCTCTCAACAGCAGCGGCAACTCCCAAAAGCCAGGGGGAGGGCGCAGCCATAATTGGGTGCAGCTGCATCCCTTCCTGGGGTCAATCATGCACAGCAGCTGTGGCCTTTCATGCAGAAGCAGCTCCCAGCACGAGGGCCATGGGGAGGGTGGAGCTTGGGAGCAGTCCCCAGACAGCAAGATGCACATTCACAAATGGCTTCAGAAGCCCAGAGTCTGCTCCCAGAGTCTGCAGGGCTGGTCAACGGGTGTTTCATTCATTCATTCTTTACCAAGTGTTTACAATGTGCCAGACTCTAGCGCACGGACATCTGTAAGGCAGGGTCCCTGCCCCGAGGAAAGCACAGCTTAATGGGAGGAACAAATGGAAAGAATTTACTGCAGTAGAACCTGGTGAGCCAGGAGCCTCGGGGAGCCCATGTGAATTGGGACCATCAGGGAAGGCTTCCTGGAGGAGGTGATGCTTCACCGGAGCCACAAGGAATGAGTAGGAGTTGGCCAATGGCACAGTGGGGCTGGAGGAGGTGACATTCCAACCACAGGCCAACCAGCAGGTGTGGGCTTAGTGGCTGCTGTGATCCTGGGATAAGGGAAGGCCAAACTTGAAAGACTTTATTCTTCAGGCCAGGACTCTGAACTAGGCTCCCGGCATGGGTCTAGATACAATTACGGCCCGCTGGCCAAACCTGACCAGGCCTATCCATTTACGCCTCACCTGTGGCTGCTTTCCCGCTTCAGAGGGACCATCTGGCCTGCACAGCTGAAGTATTTACTATCCCGCCCTTTATAGAACAAGTTTTCGGATCTCTGGGCTAGTGCTGGGGCCCAGACATTAACTGTTTCCCAGGTCTGCAGGGAAATGGGCTGGTGAGGGGCCACGTGTGTGGAGTGTCATCCACTCTGAGCTGCTGACGGGAGTGGCGTTTGCCTGCATCACCCCCTCCTCACACGGGATGGGGTGCATGTCTCTGTCTTTGGCTGCAGCCCTGTGTGGGGTGCAAGCCCTGCTGCCTGACATCAGTCTCCTGGGTTCAGAGCCCAGCACGCACTTCCCTGCTGTGTGACCAGCCTATCTGGCATCTCTGTGCCTCCGTTTACTCATCTGTAAATGGAGACAGTGATAGCACCCCCCTCACAGCACACAGTCCCTGGGGTGTATGAGGCGCTCAGGAGATCTTTATGGAAGGAGCAGACCCCTCTGGTGGCTTTTCTAGCTCACACTACTGCTTCTGTGAGACCCATTTGGAATGAAACTGCCCGAAACTGGATCGTTTCCCTTCCTGCCTTTGGGAACAGAATAACAGTCACTTAAGCGTTTCTGAATAACCTACGTCATTTCTTTGGCTGCGATGACTTTGCCGCACGACACAGTCATAGTCCAGATGCGGACGGGTAAATGAGGCAACCCCTCCACTGAGGGTCCCGGCGGGGGCCCTCTTTTTGGTTTTCTTCATGTTTCTGCCTCCTCCTTTGACATCAGCCTGAAAGTCCTATTAGATTACTTGCCTCTGGTAGCACAAACAGCTCTCTTACCTATTCAATAATTCTTTCTCCCACGAAACCAGGTAATGATACTTGTTAGAACTGTGTGCAGACTAAGAGCCAACAGGTCTTGAGTGGCCGGGCGCGGTGGCTCACGCCTGTAATCCCAGCACTTTGGGAGGCCAAGGTGGATGGATTGCTTGAGCCCAAGAGTTCGACAGCAGCCTGGCCAAACATGGCAACACCAATGTCTACAAAAATACAAAAATAACTGGGTGTGGTGGCGCATACCTGTGGTCCCAGCTACTTGGGAGGCTGAGGTGGGAGGACCACTTCAGTCCAGAAAGTTGAGGCTACAATGAGCGTGATTTTTCTACCACACTCCAACCTGGGTGGCAGAGTGAGATCCTGTCTCCAAAAAAAAAAACAAAAAAAAAAAAACTAGGTCTTGAGTGGAGCCTGGGACACGTTCTGCCGAGCAGGGTGCTTGTACCTCGGCAATAGCCGTAGCTGGCCTTCGGCTGCCTGCGTGCTGGCTGCCATCCACGGGGCAGGCAGGTGAGGCTGCTGGAAGGGAGGTACGTCCCACCGCTCCGGCGGCAACGCACACAGCCACAGCCCGAGATGCCCCAACCGTTCCCCAACAATATTCTCCAGAGCTGTTGACTTTACGTGACAGTAAATCCATCTGCAGCTCAGGTTGGGCCTACCTGGGGTTTGTTTCCCCAACGAATTGGCCTCCTGAGCTCAGGGACCTTGTCTTGGCCACACCTGTGAGACCAACAAAGAGCAGACGCAGACACACGTGGCAGTTCCATTCAAACTAACTTGCCTCCAGGTGCTCCCAGGAGCTCGGATCTGGTGTGCCGCCCACGTGGAAAAATGCACACTCTGTGACTGCTGCCTGTTTCCCAATCCCAGAGAAGGGCAGCCAGAAGACAGAGCGGATGCCTGCCGTCCGCCCCGGGACACCCAGCTCCAGAAGGGGAGTGTCTGAGGACGGGGTGATCGGACACCTGTTACCACCTCCTTGGAAGGAGCGGCACGCCCAGTATGTTACCAAGAAGGGACTGATGAATTTCTTTGAACTCCAGTGGAAGGTCTGTAAGAAATGATAGTTTATAAATAGAAGCTCAATTTTGAGAGATGTGGCGAAGCTCTCTTGGGGAGAACACGGCCCAAACTCTTCATTTCCCTTCAGAGAAATGAGGCTCAGAGGGGGGAGGGGAGCTGCAGAGCGTGGCCCAGAAGACCTGGGAGCAGAATCTAGGCCTCTTCAACCCTGCCTTAAAGCCTAGTGGCTCCCAAAAAGTTGCGGGTTTTTTTGTTTGTTTGTTTTCTGAGACAGGGTCTTGTTCTGTTGCCCAGACCAGAGTGCAGTGGTGTGATCACAGTTCAACCTCCCAGGCTCAAGCAGTCCTCTCAAGTCAGCCCCCCAAGTAGCTGGGATTACAGGCGCACACCACCATGTCTAGATAATTAAAACAATTTTTTTTTTTTACGTAGAGACAGTTGGTGGGTGGGTCTCACTATGTTGCCCAGGCTGGTCTCGAACTCCTGGGCTCAAGCGATCCTCCCACCTCCGCCTCCCAAAGTGCTGGGACTACAGGCACAGGCCACTCCGCCCTGCTCCAATAAGCTTTTATTTTTATATTTTATTTTATTTGGGTCTTGTACTGAGTGAGACTCCAGTTTTAGGCCAGTTTGCCACTCTGTTTAGCTGAAATCTTAGGAGGATGCAACTAAGAACCGAAAGGCCAGAAAAGCCGAGTTGCTCTTGGGGAAGGAGGGTGGGGCCTCAGCGCTGCCCTGGAGAGCCCTCCCAGTTGGAAAAGCACCTCTGTCTTGTGCTGGGAGTGAGGTGGGCCCCAGGGGCAGGGAAAGGCGCTTCTCTGTGAGAGTCATGGTGCCCTGCCCTTGGAGCGCCCAAATCACATGGCCCCACTGAAGTTTACATTTGCAGAGAAATAATGAGGGTTGGTCACTAATGGGCCTTTGAGAGTTCTCCCCCGCCTGTCGATAATTATAGAGCTTTAATGGGGCTGATTCAAAGAAAATCCAGCTCCAGCCCCTGCCGGCTCCTTCAAAGCCGAACCCCCCCTGCCTGGCTGATGCAGACTGACAGCAGCATCACCCTAACCCTGCTTTGCGCCTGGACTCTCCTGACCCACACACCCTTGGGAATAGGAAATCTGCCCTGGTTTCTCTTTTTTTTTGGAAGAAGAAAGAAAATCTCCTGGTAAATTGTCTTTGTAAACTCTCAAATAGTTTACAAAGACAAAATGACTGTGGCAAGGACCATAGAAAATCCTCAAGCCTATGCTGAAAGCATTTTATACTTGGGGAAACTGAGGCACGGAGCCAGTCAGGCACTGCGGGGGGATAGAGAGGAATGAGCCATCATCCCTGCTTCCCAGCACCTTAGAGATGAGTGTTACGATTTTTATAAATATCTTCATTCATCTGCTTTAAATTGTTCAAAGATTCTCCATCAACTCCTGGATTCAGTGCAACCTCCTTGGTGTGGCATTCAAGACCTTCTGTGATATGACCGTTTTGGCCTCCTCATCAGTCTCCTCCCCTTGTTTCAGCCCCTTGGCTCTACTGTTTCGCCTACACTGGGCTGAGTTTCTGACACTTCAGGACCTGTGTACACAGCTGTCCCTCTGCCAGGAGCACCTCCCTTTCCTCTTTCCCCTCTGCCAGCCCACCTCCTCCCTCTTCCCAGTCTTAGAGCTGAGCCCTCTCTGTGAGTGACCTCTGCAAGCCAGAGCTTCCACTGGGGTTCTTGCCTCCCTGCACCTCGCTTCAGGGTCACTTGTTTTTCTTGGTTTTGATGAATACCCTCAACTCAAGAGTTACCTCTCAGCATTCCTGTACCTCTGTGCCTAGCACAGATCCTGCCACATGGTGCTGTCATGTTGAGTGCATTAAAAATATGACAGGTCCAGGTAGAACACGACTGGGGCCAAAGAGGTTCTGGGCTCAAAGGAAGGGGCACCAGAGCTGGTGGGGGCTGGAAGACGCCCCCTGCTGAGGAGAGCCTTGGAGGTGCACTCACACTTTGTCCTTGCCCCAGACCTGCATGGACATCAGTCCTGACCCAGCTCCGGTGCAATTCTGGCCAATGAGACCAAAGGACGGGTCTCCTGGGGACTTCCGGAAGAGGTTTCCTCACTCTTAAACTCAGACATGAGAGAAGAAATTGGTCCTTACCCAAGGGAGGATCTTATCATTACACGCGATGCCTAGACCCACAGCAGCCACCTTGGACCTGAGGGCCCTGTCTCGCTGATGGAGACCAACAGCATCATTCTGACCTTGGTTTGCACCTGAACCTTCCTCACCCAGGCACCCTTGGGAATAGGAAATTGGTCTTGATTTTCTGTCTACAAGGAAAAGCAGACAGCCACATGCAAAGACAGACAGAGCCATCACCCCTGAGGTGCTCAGGTGCTGCCGCATTGGTGTGCCCTGGGGCAGCAAGACCTCAGCTGTCATGGTTTAAGCCACTCTGAGTTGGTTTTCTGTCACTTGCAACCCACAGCCACCTGGTGATGACAGCTTTGAAGAATGGACTGGGCTTCCACAGGTGGGGCCAGGCAGGAGAGCATCCCAGGTAGGGCAGTGTGTGGTTTGAGGGCCCAGGGCCCGCCTGGAGGGCAGCACACCAAGGAGGCCACCCTAGAACTGGCAGGGTAGTGACCAGGTCCTGCTGCTCACTCAGACATTCGCCGCCTTTCCTCCCTGTCGTCACCCCTCTGCGAGATCTGCTGGGAACAGATGAGTTGTGTGCCTGCGCTCTGACATGACTTAATAAAGGAAGGGCTTTAAAGAGCCGGGGGAAAAGGCTGAGCACATAAACAGCACTTCACTCTCCGCCTCGGACAACAGAGCAACCGCCCTCATTTCTTCTTGTCAGAACAGAGATAATCCAATAATTAGGGCAGCAAATAGCATAACCCTGGCTAAAGCCGTAATGAACCATCTGGCTTGAATCATTTAGGCTTATTCTAGGGATCTGGTTGTCACAGCCCAGAGTGGGGCATGGCCTGGGGTACTGAGTGGAAGGCGGTCCCACCCCAGAACCTGTTCCCCCACCGTGGACAAGAGCCAAGAGTTCTGGGCTCCCATGCCTAGGATGTTTGCTTAGCCTCCAGCAGGATCCAAACCTGGGCGGGGCACCCCTTGAAGGGGGCGACAGTGGCCCAAGCTGGCCCAGGCTCCGTGGCACACCATCCTCCTTAGCTCTTCTGAGTCTGTTTTCAGCATTTCTTTGGTCTGTCCTGGTAATGCGGGTGTGGCCAGCACAAAGTGGAAGCTAGCAACGCTGCGTCCCGCTCTGCCCTGCACCGCTGACCCTGTGTGAGTCTGGCCCCCACACGGCATGTATCTGCGGCCCGGGGCCCAGCCCTGCTGCCAAGACATGCTCCGTGAAGGGCTGCTGAGCTGATGGACTGGAGGTGGGGCTGGCTGGCCTGGGTTTTGAGCTTCTCCATCCTCCTTGCCTTGTAGGTTAGAGCTAGCCAAAAAAGAAAAAAGGAAAAAAAAAAAAAAAAAAAAGCCAGCTATCCACCTCTTGGCCATTTGCCATCCAGAGGGCCCTCTGTGGCACGAGGAGTGGGGACGGAAGCTCTGCCCTCCCCTCTCACTTCCTTGGTGCAGCAGTGGAGATGATGGAAATGGGAACAACTCTCCCGCCCTTCTTCTAGGGGAGGCTTTGGATTCAGGCCAGCAGAAGGAGAGACCTGGGTCCCACTTAGGGCCTACCCAAGGGCTCCGCAGGTCCGGGGTGAGCTTCCCACAGGGTTCCAGGAGCAGAGAGGAGGGGCCTGGATCTAGGGCACAGCCCTGAGGGCAAAACACTCTCGCAACCCAATTTCCCCAAGCTGGCAGGAAAGTGGAGGGGCAAGGCTGCTCCCCAGCCCCCACGCCCCAGGGCAGGGCCTCCATATGCCCGGCGCTGGCCCGAGGGCTGCGGTCCAGACCTCGAGAAAGTGCCCAGCCGGCAGTTTCCCTACGGCGGCCCAGCTCTCACCGGCCACTGCTGATGGGCCTCCCCAGGCGGGGCAATGGGGGGTCTGCGCTTCGGGGTGAGGAGCACTGGTAATCCCCACCTTCATCTCCTGGTGGCACATTTGATGTTTGGGAAACTCCAGACCCGCAGCCCGCAGGCCCTGAGAAGTGCCCAAGCCAGGCTCAAACACCCCTGTTAGGCAGGGGAGGGCCGCTGGGGCCTTCGAGAACTCCTTCCAGGCAAGGGCCATATCCCGGCCAGGGCTGGGGTTCGACGCTGGTTTTCCAGGTCTCTCAGTGACACGGCTGGGGCTACAGCTGGACTGGAGCAAGGGGGGTGTCTCCCATCCCACCCTGACCCGCACAAAACGATTCCTCACTGGACTGCGACCTATTCCGGCCTCGGTTTCCCAGCCAGTCCCGCTTGGCTGGACAAGCACCCTCGGAAACAGGTGAAGGCGCCACGAGCGCCCACCCGCCGGGCCTCGGCCCTGGGACTCCGGCGGTTGCCCGCTCCTGGGGCTCGGGGCTCAGTTCCGGGGGAGGCGGGCGGGCTGGGAGCCCTTCCTGCCTGGGGGCAGCGCGCGTAACAGGTGTGCGAAGGTCCGCGGCCCTGCCGAGCACCGCGGCGGGGTCCATGGTGTCCATGGGGTCCATTTTTCCAAAGGACAAGCGGCCCCATGGTCCTCCTGGTCCTCAGCCCGCGCGCCAGCAAAGCCGCGGCGCTCTGCGGAAAGCCGGGCCCACCGGGAGGCAGGGCCGCCCTCAACCCCGGACCCCTCCCCGGCTCGACCCGGCCCGACCCTGGGCCACCGGGCCCTCCCGGAGCGGTTGGCGAGAGGGGAGTGACCGCGCGGCCCGCAGCAACTGGTGTCTCTCCCGGACGCAGCTCCGCCCTTAACGGGAAAAAAAGCCGCTGCCCGCACCGGAGCTCCCGGAGGGCGGGCGGGCAGGGAGGGGGCGCGGCCCGGCCCCGGAAACGGGACGCCCTCGGGGAGGCCCCCAAACTTCCCTCCTCTCCAGCCCGGTCGGGACAGGGTGCGGAGAGCGCGCGAGGGTCGGGCGACCCCGCCTCCGGGTGTGCGCGGAGAGAGAGGCGACCACGCGGGGGGCGGGGAGCGACCCAGGGGACCCGCGAGGCCGGGGGCGCCGAGCCCCAGCAAGGGAAGGAGACGCGAAGTCGGTGAGTTGGAAACTTACTGCAATCGTCCGACTCGTAGCCGTCGGCGTCGGGCTCGTCCTCAGGCGGCTTGGCAGGCGGACGCGCGGGGCTGGGACCCGGGCTGGGGCCGGGGCTGGAGCCGTAGGCGCCGAAGAGCTGGTCCACATCCTCGTCGTCTTCGCGGGCGCCGTCGGAGGGGCTGCGGGGGCCGGCGTTGGCCGCGGCTGGGCGTGCGGGGGCGTCCGGGGGCGCGGGGGCGCGCAGCGCGGCGTCCGTGGGGAGGCCCCGCGGGAAGCGGGGGAAGTAGTCGGAGATCTGCTTGATGGGGCGGATGGGGCCGGGACACACGTCGATGGCCATATGCTCCTGGATGCTGATGGTCGCCTTCTCCCCGCGCCGCCGGAGGGTCATGCAGGCAGCGCCGCCCCGCCCGGGCGCGGCCCCGGCCCGGCGCGACCTCGGCCCGGGAGCGGCTCAGCAGGCCCGGCAGGGCACGGCAGGGGCTGTGGGCATCGCCGGCCGCGCCCCCGGACAGCCCTGACGCGGCTGCTGCCGGCTCCGCGGCGGCCGGCGCGAGTGAGTGCGGGAGGCCGGCAGGCAGGGGGCGGGCCCAGCCCGCGTCACCCGGCGGCAGCCAAGCAGGGTGAGCGCGCGGGCGGGCGGCGCGGAGCGGAGGGGGCGGAGGGAGCCGCCCGGCGCCACAGTCGCCCGCACCCACACTCACACCGTGCGCGCCCCGGCCCGGGACCCCGCGCGCGCACTCTCAAGGCCGGGCAGGGCCGCCGAGCGCCTTCCTCTCACGGACGCTCGCGGGAAAGGCGGGGACCGCGGGACGCAGACCCCGGGACGCACGCAGGTGTGCCGGTGTAGAGACGCAGTGGAGGCCTCCGCTCACTCACACCCGTGGACACACACGCGTGCGTGGGCACACAGAGTTGGTCGAGGGTGCTGCGGCACAGTGCACCCCAACTCCCGCGGGCGCACACCTTGCGGGACACACACACAGGTGATCAAGGGCACTCCCGAACCCCCAACAACACGCACAAACATGCGCTCGTAGAAGTGATCAGGGACCCTGGGCACACCTCCCTCTGTCCTCCTGCATCTATCTAGCAGGACTCGGAGTCAGCTCCTAGCGTGTAGGGACAGGCCCAACTGTACACGGACACCGCGGCAGTCTGTGCACACATATTCTCAGGTCTCATACTCGAACACAGCACTCTAACCTCCAATCAGCCCCTCACTTGCTCAGTGAGTGGCCTGAAGGACCCACCAGCGCAGGGTGGCTGAAAACCTGGACAGGGTCTGGTCAGGAGGGGTGAGGGCAGGGCCTGGGCCGTCAGTGAGGCAGAGGCTGGGCGGCACCCCCACCCCCACCCTTACTCTGGGTCTCTCACATGGTCAGATCACTAAACAAATTCCACAGAGCTCAACCCCGCTGTCCGGCTTTCCAGGACCAGAGCTCTAGTGGGAATGGCTGTGCGTGGACAGGTGTCCCCAGAGAGCCCTGGACACAGACGGAGTTCTGTTTACCCTCTGGTTTCCGCTGACCATGAAACGCTTAGCTTCTTAGCTGGGAACCTTTGTTGAGTCTGAATGAGGGGCTCCAAGCCTCTCTTGTTCCCCCACTGCAACCCCTGCAGACGGATGGGGAGCAGAGGAAAGAGTTGCAAAGCCTTGCCCTGCTTCCAGCTGCACATTTCTGGCAGGCTATTTGAGCTCTTTGAGCCTCAGTTTTCGTATTTGAAGGTATTTCCAAATGCACAGCACTGTGGCAAGGCCCCATCCAGCACAGAACTTGACAGGTAAGAGCTGCTCAGTTGGCTTTCCCGTCTCCCTTCTTTTGGAAAGACCAGACTCGTGGTGAGAAGTGATGAGAAATTCATTTTCGTGCTGAGTTCTGAACTGGGTGGCGGCGGCACTACCGGCCTTTGAAAACACTGGAGGAACACATGGCGCATGTTGCACTTGCCAAGAACATTCACAGCTGTCATCTCATTGATCCCTTAACCACCCCAGGATGTAGGCAGGGCCTGCTGTTCCCACTTCACAGGTGAGGAAATTAGCGCTCACACAAGGATGTGCCCAGGTGACTGCTAGCTGGTGGCAGAGCTGTGAGGAGAGCCCAGTGTCCTGCCTTTCTGGTGCTTCTACTTTCCCTCCCTTCCCCCCTTTCTCCTCCCTTCTACAGAGCTCAGGGGCTCAGAGCAGAGTTGGAAACGCAGGTAAAACCTTGTTCCCCAAGTTCATCCTGAGGCTTCTTGGACAGGGGAAGCCCAAACTGAGGAGGAGGGCTTCAAAGGAGGGGGGAAGAGGAGGAGGAAGAGGAGGTAGCAGGCCAACAGCCTCACGGGTTACAGTGGAAATGAACCAGCCTGTAGTCTCAGGTCCTGGTGGGAGAAAAATTCAGCCTTCCAAGAGCCAAAGGCCAAGGGAAGGCCAGAAGAGCCTGGAAGGGCAGCCTGGTACAGAGGGGTTCTCATTTCCAGGAATGCTTAGATTAATCCTTAAATAGGCACTTTTTCTGTGCCAGAGGTGGCTGCATCACAAAATGATTATATAATGATACAGATATTAAAATACAGATGCTGAACCATCATTTTATCATTACGAAGGAGCTAGAGGCTGTGATCATCATCTTACTGATGGGGAGACTGCGGCTTTCGAGGTTAAGTGACTAGCAAGAGGTAGACTGGGGATGAGACCTGGGCATCCTGACCGCCAAGCCTGTGCCTTTGAACATCAAGGCCCTGTGCCTGTGTTCACTGAGAGCTGGCTCTTGTCCTGTGGGTCTGGGTTTTGGAGGATGAGCTCACAGCTCTTGGCTCTGCAGGACCTAGCTTGTGGGGAGGGTTTGGAAGAAGTCAGGTGGAGGACCCAGCATCTAAGCATGGAGCCAGGAAACCCCAGGGTGCCCACTGGAGAAACACGTGGCATGTGGGGGCCAGCCTTTGGCAGGTAGCAGAGTTGAAATCCACGCTAGGTCTGAATTTGCCCAGCTCTGAGTCCAGCTGACACGGGGTGGGGCCTCCCCAAGGGACAGAAGTGGTATCATCTGGGCAGACGTTCACTTTCTACAAAGAGCATAAGTCAGGCAGCAGGCACTCTCAGGGTCGGCAATCAAGCGTGCCTCCTCTCAACTGCCACACTGAGCAAGTGGCTTAACGTAGGTCCTGGGTCGCACCTGCAATAGGGGAGGAGAACAACCTTGTGTGAGTTAGAGGCCAGGATGGGTACACAGTGCCCGGCACAGTGCCCAGTGTGTACATGGCACTCAGGGAATTGTGGTTCTGCTGCCCCTGCACCGCCTTCCTGGTGCAAACCTTCACTGCACTCTCTGCACTTGCCTCGACTTCTTAGGAGTGAAATTTGGACAGCTGTTCTCTGTCTGCCGCCAGGACCGGGTGAGAAATGGATGCACCTGCCAAGGCGGGGTGCTGGCTGGCATGTGTGGTCATCTCTAAGCAGTTGGACGTGTCCAAAGCCTCATCAGTCATGTTGCCTTCCATTCCCCATGCTGGGGTGGGCAGCTGGACCAGCCCTTGGCAAAGTTAAGTGGATGGAGTCTGCCCTTGGGCACAGCCCTCAGGAGTCCCAAGCCCTGGCCTCTCTGCCGCCTGCATTTCCCAACAAGCTTCTGAGCTTTCTCCCAACTCCCCACAAATCCACTCAAAGCCTCCTGTCAAATGAGATAAAGTGGGTTCTTTAAAAAATGGTCCCAGCATCTGTAGCGATAGCATGTCTAGTCACTTTGTCACTGAGGCTGGAGTGCAGTGGCGTGATCACAGCTCACTGCAGCCCCGACATCCCGAGGCTAAAGTGATCTTCCCAACCCAGCCTCCCAAGTATCTGAGACCACAAGCATGCACCACCATGCCCAGCTGATTTTTTGTATTTTTGTAGAGATGGGGTTGTTACCCAGGCTGGCTGCAAACTCCTGGGTTGAAATGGTACTCCTGCCCTGGCATTTCAAAGTGCTGGGATTACAAGCATGAGTCACTGCCCCCAGCACAGGATGTCTATCAACAATGCCGACTGCAGGCCCCCATCTCACACCCACTGACTCAGAATGTGTGTGCGCAGTCAGGATGTGTCTTAACCAGCACCCCGATGATTCTGGTGCACAGTGAAGGTTGAGACTGGCCGGGTGAGAGGGTGCTAACGGTCTACCACAGCGATTGTCAACCTGCTGGGCTGCCTCTGTGCTGTTCACATGCGTAACACAAGCCCATCATGACATCTGTCAGTATTTAGTGGTTCTTCACCGGGGAAGTGAGTGTCTAACCCAAGGTGGGTGCTGGGATTTCCAGAGGGGTTTGGCAAAGCCACTCTGGGGAGTCTGATCTCCTGTTTGGATAGTCTGACCTCTTTCCTGTTGGAGAAGGACCAGTTAACAGCTCTTCCTGGAGCAGGTAACGTGTTTTTGAGGAAATACCCTTTGTGCAGCACTTGGCTGGATGCTCCTTGGCTGGCATCTTGGCTGGTGTCCACATGCCCAGAGAGGAAGGGCCCTCTCTGACCCCGGCCTACCATGTATTCCCCATTTCCACCCTTCCCTGATTACCAGAGGGGCTCCTATCCTGCTGTGCTAATAGTACATTCTCTGTATTAACAGAAGACTTTAACCCAACAGGGGGGCTTGGAGGGAGGAATTCCAAACAATGTTGCTGCTTGATGGAAAGGGGCCTTCCAAGGTCTCCTGTCCGTTCATTTATTCATGAAGCCACGTTTCAACAAATATATATTGGGCACCTACCCCACAACAAGCCCCTGCTGCGTTCTGAGGGGGCTGGTAATAAATAAAGCCCATTTTTCTTTAGATTCCAGATGACGGAGGGGAAGTCAGGAAGGGATGTAGGAACCACCACTCTGGGGTCCCATGCCTGCTTCTTGACGTGCGCCATGGCCTCGGCATGGAGGCAGGCTGGTGCGCGGATGCCAGCAAGTCAGCTCAGCGTTTGCAACACAGCTTGTGGCTGTGAGAGGCCAACTTGATACATTAAGCGATGTTAAAAATGCAGCCTATTTCTGATAATTTATTATGCACATTCTCATAAACACATTACCCTCGTCACAGTACATTTATGAGCACCAGGCCTACCAGTGGGGAAAAGTTAACACCTACCTAATGATGTCGTTTTGCAGATGTCAAAGGCGCTGGTGCTGCGGTGATGGGCTCAATGGTACAAAGAAATATGAGTCTTTTTTTCTATCCAGGGACACCAGGAGGCTGCCCAGGGCTGGGCGGAAGAACCAGGCTGTCTCCCTCCACCCTGCCAAGGCCTGGGCTGTGGGATTGGAGAGAGGCCGGGTGAGAGGCTCCCCTGCCAGGAGAGACTTACCCCAGGATCAGGCTGCCTTTGGCAGATTAGATGTCACAGAAGGATAATGCTGAATCCTCTGGGGAAGCTCTAGAAATGACCTCTGGGAGGAAGAGGGGCAGAGCCTGAGGCTTATGTGACCGCAGGCCTGGGGACCCCTAGAGCCCAGGATCTTCATGACTGGGGTGAGCATCTCAGCATTATACATGAATTAGAATGGGCAGAAATTCCAACCAGCCCAGGGCTGGTACAAAGCCAGGGCCAACAGCCACCAATGTTCCCTCCAATAGCTTTGAGTTAATGATGCAATTCAAAGGTATTAACAATGCAAGTGGTAGCTTCCAATGATAAGTTGTTCCATCTTTTTTTTTTTTTTTTTGAGACAGAGTCTCCCTCTGTTGCCCAGGCTGGAGTGCAGTGGCGCGATCTCAGCTCACTGCAACCTCCGCCTCCCAGGTTCAAGCAATTCGCCTGCCTAAGCCTCGAGTAGCTGGGATTACAGGTGCCTGCCACCAGGCCTGGCTAATTTGTTGTATTTTGAGTAGAGATGGGGTTTCACCATATTGGCCAGGATGGTCTCGAATTCCTAACCTCAGGTGATCCACCTGCCTCAGCCTCCCAAAGTGCTGAGATTATACATATGAGCCACCATGCCTAGCCCACTTTCTTTTTCCCCCTTTAAGAGACAGGGCCTTGCTCTGTTACCCAGGCTGAAGTGCAGTGGCATGATCATGGCTCACTACAGTCTTGAACTTCTGGGCTCAAGCAATCCTCCCATCTCAGCCTCCTGAGTAGCCAGAATCACAGACATGCACCACCATGCCCAGCTAATCTTTTTATATTTTATTTTATTTTTGAGACCAAGTCTTGCCCTGTCGCCCAGGCTCGAGTGCAGTGGCGCGATCTCGGCTCACTGCAACATCTGCCTCCTAGGTTCAAGCAATTCTCTTGCCTCAGCCTCCCAAGTAGCTGAGAATATAGGTGCATGCCACCATGCCCTGCTAATTTTTTGTATTTTTTTTAGTAGAGATGGAGTTTCACCATGTTGCCCAGGCTGGTCATGAACTCCTGAGCTCAGGCAATCTGCCTGCCTCAGCCTCCCAAAGTGCTGGGATTACAGGCATGAGCCACCGCACCTGGCCAGGGAGAGTTTCTTGGATAGGAAATTCGCTAAGCTGAAGGGCTGTATATCTTTAGCTTGACTAGAGAGTGTGTAGCTGCTCCCCAAACTGGTTCTAACCATTGCCAATCTCACT